TCTCAGACAACCCCCTCTCTAATTCACAGGAAGATAAAGTGAGATAGTGGAGGGAACATTTAGACTTGCAAGATACTGTTCCAATAATAGTAGTTTTATATGGCATCGAATTTTTCATCTGGTCTATTTATAAAGCCGATGTGTGTGTGCTATTCCAACAAACATAATAAATAATTGTTTAAATGGGGCCACTGTTGCCTATTATTGTATTATTACATGCATCTTCTCAGCTGTCTATTTAAATGGTAATAAAAGTACGTGCAAAGGAGAGGGGAACACATTTCTCTGTTAGTAAGTACTTCATTATATCTTAACCCAAGGGCACTAATTTACACACATATAATCAGTGGGGTAACATTTAATGGCCCCCTTTGGGAACCAGGCTGGGCGTAACAGCTGTTCTCTTTCTATTTGTAATCAGGCCTGTTCCTTTTACTTTGGTGTGTGTGTGTGTGTGTGTGTGTGTGTGTGTGTAAATGCAAATATATAAGCATTTCAATAATACATTGCATTTCCTTTCTTTCTTTTTTAGTTTTATTCGTGCAGTGTAACACAGTACTATTTTAGAAATAAGCCCCCTTATTTCAAATCTCTGTGGTATGACTAGAAATGCCCAGCCATGTTTTGGATATTCACTCTGCTATTTAATGTAATGCTGCCCAACTGGAGGGTCGAAGTCTTTGGATACATGTGAATAAAATCACTGTATTCATGATTTGTAGCCCTTTCTTTTAAACAAAAGCCAAGCTTTTCCCCATCCCGCTGAACTTCATTCAATCTTGCTTAAGAGAGGACTGGGAGAAGTGGGAACCTTACTCCAGACAGGCCCCTTTCAAAAGGGCCTGTGTCTCCTATAAGCTGCTCCCTCCCAAGGGCCAGCCAGCTTTATAATGTTCTGACTACTGTGTGTGTGTGTTGGGGGGGGGGGAATGACAGATCTCTTTTTGTATCACCAGCGGTGCTTTTCACACCCCTTAATCCTCTTGCTGACTCAACCAGTCTGAGATTAGTTTGAAATTTGCTCATTTCACTGCCACTTATGGTTACAGGTTACATTTCCATGAATTCTACACACACATTTCTGTGGACGAGTAGATTTTAGGAACCCCTTTGATTTTAAAGGGAAGAGAAAGGGGGATTTAAAAAAAAAATAATCCAAATAATCCAAACAGAAACAAGCAATAATCACAAAAAGTCCAAAAAATAGTATAAAATATTTAAATAGCGGAGGCTGGGGTGGGGTTACTATAATGCTTTTTCCTCTAATGTTTTTATGCTAATTTTGTTTTGCCTTTTTTCAAACTTAACAAAATTTGTTTATAACATTTTCATTTCAACCTTTGCTCTAGTGTAAATTTATTTTATGTGTGTATGTGCATTGTTATCCCTGATTTTTGATTGTTTTACCTAATTAATATAAAAATAAAATCAGGAGGGGGGGATAATGAAATGTTCTTCCAATTGTAGCTTAGGTAAAAGAGCTACCAAGTAGTCTTACTTATTTATCCAATTTTTATCCTTCCTTTTTAAACAACTTGCCCTGTTCACAGAAACAATTAACACAGTCGGCCAATCACCCAATCAGATCTTCTAACCAGTGGTTTTTGGTAGACAAAGTACAACAAGAGTCATCATTTGGGGAATACGTAGTTCCTGCCCACTTTCTTTAGCAAGTTGTGTCCCATGTTCATATTCCCACAAATAAGGTACAGTATTTAACAAGTAACAATGGGAAGAGAACGGGGAAAATGGTTTTATATTACATAGCAGGGGTGTCTGTTGTATATGACCAAATATGGCCAAGGGGTGGAGTCAGCTAATAGACTCCACTCATTGGCCCAGCTGCTGGCGGGAAAAACAAAGTCCCGTCAGTGGCTGAAGCTTTGGACAGCGGCAACTATAAAAGCCGGCGCCTGCCACGGCTGAGCGGCTTTTTCCTAGACTAAAAGAAATAAAGGTTGCTTACCAGTTCCCCGCATCCTGCCTCTCCTTTACCACGTGGACCCTTTGAACACTTATTTATCCACTTATACCACGTGGACCCTTTGAACACTTATTTAAATAAGTTATAACATTCAGAACAAACTCGGGCACATGCTTCCCTTGTTCAAGGATCTACGGGGGTGTCAAAATGGTGGCCTGCAGGTCAGATGTGTCACACGTAGGCCACGCTCACCCCAGTTCCATGAAGGGGAAAAACATCAAGAAACATCACGTGACAGCAACGTGACGTGGCGAGCTTGACACCCGTGATCTAGAAGGAGGAGGAGAAGACATCACAATCAGACTTAAAAGAGTCTGTTATTGTAACCAATCTCAGTAAAAGTAGTTTTAACCTTCCTGTGGAATTGATTTCCTGATCTGAGCTATCTAGTGGGGTTGACACATCCTAGCCTCCATCCTTTTTTTCATTCAAGGCAGGGGAACTGGAAGAAAAAAAAAACCAGCAAAGCACAGCTCCCTTGATGCCATTCCTCTGATCCCATGGATAAACCAGTTACTAGTATCAAAGAAGAAATTCTACACTTCTTTTGTCTCTCTGTTCCTGCTATGAACAAAATCGCTACTCTGCTTCACAGCCAAGGAACAACAGGGATTGGAAGTGTGGTTTGTATTTCCTTAAGATGGCTCAATGTTCTGCTGGAACCTGCACTATGTATTAGTGTTGTTTTGCAGAAAAAACTCAAATTGTTTTAAGCTGAATCTAACTGTCATGGTGTTAGTGAGCTGGGTCAGTTGATCCCTTTTTGATGTTTCCATAATACATGAACAATATATTGTCTGCAATGCCACCGCCTCTCTTCTAAAGAGCATTGTTATAAGGTTATTTTGGGACTGCAAAATAATCTGGATCCCCAGTAGCAAAGAGACAAAGAAAACGAACTCTTCGCAACTATATAATTGTTATCTGATATTCCTATATTCTACCTGGCTTCTGGCTCATCTACATCTGCCGTAAGAGACGCTTGCCATTCTGTTTTCCACAGTGTAAAACTGACAAAGGCCGTTAAAGAACTGAAGCTGTGTTTGGTCTATGTTGCTTTCAGAGATTGTACCAAGGAGGATCTCAATTCACATGAGGATCTTTAAAAAGAGGGCTATTTTCTGAATAAAGTCTGTATCTTATATAAAAGGCACATTTCCCCAGTAGTAACTAGTGACATCTTCTAAGTCGGTCAATGTTAAGGCAATAACACAGCTATGCAGATTACTGTTACATCAGGACAGAAAAGGTTAGGATGGCTGTAGAACAGAGGTGTCAAACTCCGTTTCATTGAGGGCTGCATCAGGGTTGTGTTTGAACTCAGGGCAGGGGCAGCTTGATGTCTCTTATGTAAGGGCACCTGCAGTGGCAGAGTGCTAAGGCAGGACTTCCCTCAGACCCACCCTCCTTCATTATAATCTTCCTTCCTTCCTTCCTTCCTTCCTTCCTTCCTTCCTTCCTTCCTTCCTTCCTTCCTTCCTTCCTTCCTTCCTTCCTTTTCTCTTCCTTCCCCTCTTTCCTTATTTTGCTTCCTCGCTCTCTTCCCATCTTCCCTTCTATTTTTTGTCTTTCCTCTTTCCCTTTCTCCTTTCCTGTCCCTTCTTAGTTGCTCAAATGCAAAAGGGGAAACATTTCTCCTTTTGTTTTGTTTTGCTTTTAGTTTGTTTTGCGAGCCTCTGCCAGCAAAAATGGAGCTCGGGTGGCTGCACGCGGTCCTCCCGAGCTCCATTTTCACTGGCAGAGGCACCGCGGGCCAGTCCTTTGTTGTTTCCAGGGCAGCCCTGCGGGGCTGTGTCTAAGCACCCTGTGGGCCGGATCGGCCTGCAGGCCTTGAGTTTGACACCCCTGCTGTAGAAGGTACTGTGAGTCACAAGTCGGGATCCTGCCTAGGTAGACATAAAGCAGTTCCATGTGAACTGTTTTCTTCCCAGTCCTTAAAAGCAATTTAAAGCCAATCCCAGTCATCTTCACTTCTGCAGATGTTAATGCTAAGAACATACACAGAATATCACAAGCCCCTCATTATTCCTTCCAGCTAATTGAGGGGATGGAGGGTGGGGATAGCATTTCATCAGTGCCCTGGCTCTTGAACTACCACAGCTCGAGCCATTACAAAAGTTGTATTGTCCCTACCACCATTCAGAAGTGATAGAAATAAATTGCTAATGCATATATTCATCTCCAGTTCCTATTGTGTGGATTTGTCGGGTCACTTCCCTCCCCACCGCCAAATTTGAACAATTACTACAAGATGGTTTCATCCATCTGCCAAAAGCCATTGCTTCACTTTTCTTTTCAGAACCAGGGTTAGCTCTGAATCCAGGAGGAATATAGGATCCGCATTTTGGCAGCCAGATGTTTTTCAAAACAGCTCATGTAATGGTTGTTTGCTGCAGTGGCAAAAGTAAGTGAACAAAGCCGGAATCATAATAATACTCCAGGCAAAAGGCAAAATCATCAAGGATTCTGTTTCCCCCTCACTTCAATGCTGGACGAGGCAGATGTTTTTTTTCTCAAGGATAGTTTTAAAACCAGGTCACTCAAGATATGTTCAGATTGAAGGTGTAACAAGGAGAGAATTAGGGTTGCCTTCGTAAATACCTTAGGAGTTGTGGCCCATTTGCTTCTGGCTTTGGGCTGAGTCTTCACTTCCTTTCAAACACACACACACCCGATGCTAGATGACAAACTGACTTCCTCAATTTGGAAATTAATAATTTCAAACATCATAAATATTATTTGTATGAACCTGTCCATATCT